CGAGTTTCCTGTAGGCATCTTGCCAATAACCGCTACCGAAGGTACGGCTGCATATGTGTACTCATATATCCATGCAGCATCACGGCCGCTTCATACCAATCCCTTCGCTTCATAATTTGCTTAGCAAATGAATCGATTAGAGCGTCAGGAACGGTCGTCCATTTGTGGGCGGGCGGGCGTGGCGGGCGTTTGGGTAAGTTGTGGCTTGATAGGGCCCTTATAAGGGCACCTCCCTTGGAAAAGGCATTATGCAGCGCCTGCTCAGGGTCGCGGAATTCCGTCCTGCCAGGCGTATTAATCCTACTCGTCTTGGGGATTTATCGTGCCAACTGCCTTTAAGTAACTTCGGGGAGACCAGTCAAATCGTGTAAAGCTATGAAAAGGGGCAAGTGAGCCAGATTGCTCACATGCATTTACGCGTCTTCACATGGTAGCCTTGTTCGAGACTGAAAACCATTAGGTGTCCCCACTAAGCCGAACTGCGCCGCATACTCAAATGCCCATTCCACATTATCCACTGCACTCCTGTCGATGTGGAGCTAGAGTTTTCTAGGTTTTAGGAACAGCTACTGTATTTGATAGAGCCATTTGGGAAATAGATAGCTCGACGAAAAATGGCGTTTGTAGTGGACGCGTATCGAAGGAGTTGAGTTTTCCAAATAGTCCGTTGGTCTCAGTCATTTTTGACAAGAATATGGTAGCGCTCGGAAGCGATCAATCTCAATTCGAAAGCAGTGCGCTACGTTGGTGTTCCTGCAAGTACAGTAGCTCGCAACGCTCATGGTTCAGGGATCGAACCCAGGTCAAGTCTCCTACTCAGGCAGACCGAGCCTTCCATGCCCAGGGTTTCTGAGATGAAAAGGGTCTGAGAAGTAAGAAGAGGAGGGTGGGGAGAAAGAAAGAGGGGGGGGGGGGAATTAGATGAAACATAAAGGGTTCTACCTATTTCTGTGCCCCAGTTTCGCTGGAGCTCTCAGGACTTGTCTGTAAGCAGAAAAATTGTCGACTTATTCATCGGTTGGTCCACTAGGCGTGGTTGAGCAACAAAGGGTCATTTTTGGAGGCATTAGAGGGAGGAGGACTATACTGGGGTTGCTGAACCAAAGGAGGATCTGGGTGGGTGGTGAAAGGGTGTGGAAATGCGAGGAGTATACAGAAGTCTTCCTCTCTTTACTCCTGCTCCTCCTGTTTAGGTGTTCTTTTTCGGAAATTGAAAGCCAGGATAGGTAGGAAAATGTTTGGATTATAGAGGATCTTATTTCGGGGTAGCAATGGGAAGCATCGTGCCAGGCGACCATTTTTCCCCATCGTTACTGTATGTCTTTGGTCAGCAAGCGCCAAGCATCACCTCCTCTGTGGCGTCACACCTGCTTGTGGTTCCCGAGTCACAGCGGAAGAGGGCAATAAAAAACTCTCCACTCATGAGACGGGGCCCTAGACTTCGTTTCGCACGGAATGGCAGGCCAGGTCAATAATGTGGACACTCTTTTCATTCACTCTCGGACATTGCCTCAACCCCTGTACGTCCAGGAACCGTCAAAGTGACGAGCGTGGGATTCCAGAGCGCCTGACGACCATCTTGGCTGCAGCTCCACGGTCAGAAATGACTCATGAAAAATGGGCCATGCACCACAGTGACCTGCAAAAACTGGGTATCATTTAGAGTAAAAACGTCCTGGAACCCGCACGTGAGTGGCTCGGCCTTGGAAAGGATGAGCTGTTTCAGGCTGTGACAGGTACCACAGCCAATCTTGAGTAGCCCAGCGCTGATCAGTTGCCTCAACTTCTCACGACGGTGGAAGCAGTGATGGAGGCTTGTTTCCGCTTATTGAGCACCAGGTGCAGTTCGACTTCATGGCTGCCAAATGGTACCCAGCGAAGGTTATACAGAGCACCTGGTAAATTACTCTGACCAAAGCGGCTCACTCGCGCCATTTCGCAGGTTCTCAGGAATTTACAGGTTGTACCTGTTAGCTGTCTTGAACCAACAAAGTGACAAGCAAAAAAGCAAAATGCCCCTCGAAGCCGAAGAACATCTGAGCTACATTAATGTGGGTAAAAAGGCGGTGTCTTCACAACCTCCTCCCCAAATTTCCTCCCTCGGTACCACCCCTTCAAAACCTGCATGCCATCTCACCGGGGTCTCCCTGGGATTTCACAGGAAGGACGGAGGGTGTAGACCCTTTTACCAAGCAGAAGAAGTGGTAGTTTTGTTACGCTTAGTAGGGAGATATAGCGCACGTGAATCTGGAACAATCAACAATCGGAAAAGTTGTACTCAGGGCCAAAGCAACCCTTCTCTAAGCGGCCCCTCGGAACCGCCTGCGTAGGATCCGCATAATGATTATCTTCGATATACCTTGCCACCACTGATGGTGAGCATCGGTGGAGTAATGGGTAAAAATTCTTTTCCGCCCTGTCCTTCTTTAGTTGGAGGCCCTAAAACTACCCTCCAACATCGACAAATTGCCGTCTTGCAAGTAAATGCAAGCAAGGGGTTTCACAGACGCTGGAGTAATTCTCAATCAGATAAAACCGCGCTGAACGACATCCCGTGATGGCGATTTTGTTCGTGCGTATAGAATTTATATGTGGGTTGAAAGAGAGAGAAAGTTGAAACCCCGCATTCCACGCACCCACACACGACACCACGTTAATCGCCCCGAGGTTTGGTATTCATAGAAATCGCCCTTGACGGAGGGCTTTACATGATTCGCACGAAATCATGGTCTCTACGACATTCCCAGGAAATCGGTTTGATTGACGCTTTTGACTATTGTACCCTGCTGTTGAATCAGGGGGTGCACAGTATTCCAGAATAGCTCGTAAAATCAAATGCATGAACGCACATTATTGGGTATACCGTAATCCCCATCCGTCCAATCACCTCCGACACTACTGATATACGTTCCACTGTCCGACTGTTGTTGTCCAAGGCTGTTACGCACGCCTGCGCGCTCAAAAGAAGGAAGCTCCAGAGCTGAGAAGCGAATGGGATGTTCTTCACTCACAACTGAGGCTTGGCTACGGTGTTGGATAGGCGCGTGTGGGGACATTCTCAGCATTTGTTGGACCTAAGCGCTCAACCTTGGGCGCAGCTTTGGGGTACTGTATACCCCATGCTGTCCTATCCTGGTAATCCCTGTGTCACTTATGGTCGCATTCATCATCGCCCGGGAATGTTCCACCGTGACCTCGCCAGAGCTCGCGTTGATCTTGCTCGGGCTTCTCTACTAAGTCTCTATCGTGTTAGGCCCAGTGGATCCTTTGTGCGTGAGAGGTACAACTTCAGAGCTACCATGAGGAATTCTGACCTTCGACTTGGTCATCCAGGTGTTCGTATGACACTTTGCGGAATCCACCCGCTAGTCGCTCTAATCCAGCAGCCATCGTCGAATTGCATGACGTGCCCGACCCACCTGATCTTTGAAACCTTGGCGAATGCGGCTGTGCCTCTGATCTTCGATCGTTGACGGAGTGCCGAACTCCTGTTTTCCTCTATCTATAGCTTGTAGCGAGAAACAGCGTACCTTCTTAATGGGGATTTGAATGAGTCTGACCGTATGCACATGCTGCCTGCCTAAGTCTCTGAAACTCGCCTTAGAACAGTGGGAAATGTGGGATCCAAGCCACTGAGCCTAGTGATCTAATCTTGTCTTATTCGATGCCTTTATTATAATTTTTTGAATTTCGGTTGCGAAAGAGAGCCTCATTTTCACACGATCAGAGGTTTTATTTAAGAAAGACTAAAAAAACCTCATTGTGGTAAGTAGTTGGGAACGAATATGGTAGGTAGAGTGTGTAGGATGGGGAAAAGGGATCGTGCCAAAGGAAGAAAATTCGAGGAGAGGGGGGTCGCTTTTTGCAAAATTTTCCTCCAATGGCAGGACATGCCCTGATCGTGGGATCTCAAATGAGTTTGCGATAACTGATCAGCAGTCCTCATTTCATCCGGTTCCCAGGACATTGT